CCGAATAAGAGAAAAATCGTAGACGCACAAAGGGACGAAGAAAAAAAAAAAAAAACAGGACGTTGTAATGTAATAATATAATAAACGAGTCAACTTGATCCCGCGAGCAATGATGTTCTGTATTTGATTTGATTCTATAACAACAATTCTCCGATATAACGAATATTCGTGTATTGTCACAGCAGCAGCAGCAATAGCAGCACCAGCAATTAATGTTTGTGATAATCAGTGTCAGTATTGTCGTATTAGTAAGTAATTAGTGGGCAAGTGTCTAGTTTCTAAGTAAATTATGCCTGTGCAAAAGTCTAGGGAAATCGATCGATTTCAAATTCTTCCAAGTTATATTCCAACACGGTTGTAAAATATATCATAATATCTTTTTTTTTTAACTTCGACGAACTGATGATCCCTTTACTTTTCCACCCCACCACTTTTGCACTTGACCGATTGTAAAGAAAAGTTATAATAATGTTATAAACAGTATTAATAGTGTTGAGTGGTGTAAAACTAGTAAGTAGTAATCGTAGTAACGGTAGGTAAGTAATAAGTAATACTAATAGTAGTATTTTGTATAATAGTACGACTGTACAGTGGTAGTTGGCTGTCGCTTTTCATCGTCAATCGCGAATTCGCACTGTCTCGTTCGATTCTTCCGCTACAAGTATTCTATTCCCGTTTATATTTATAAAAGCAAAAATCTACCGCTACTTCTCGTTGCAAGAAACTTCACCGAGCAGGGAGTTGCGTGTATGATTCTACAAGTTTTCATGACAAGTGTATATATGACGTAGGTGGAGAGAGAGAGAGAGAGAGAGAGAGAGAGAGAAAAAAAGATGAAAAAAAAAAAAAGAAAAAAGAACGTCCATAGATCGAACGCGAGAAACTTCTGTTGATCGAATTATTAGCGAAGAGCTAGTTCAACTTGCGAACGAATCTCAAGAGGTATATATATAGTGAGATATATCTGGTCTGACGTAGAACCGCGGCGAGGTAAACGAGCATGATCGATCGAAAACACGATCGAGGGTGTTTCTTCGCGCTTCACGGTACATACGTTATTAAAAGAATGCCTTCCCGCGACCCGTAACGAATAAACAGATCGGTTGAAAAAATAGGAAGGGCAAAAAACTGAAAAAGGAAAGATGGTTATACATCGCGATATTTATCGATCGACGTAATTCGCCTTTGGTCCCTTCCTTCGGCCGTGATCAACCGATGAACCGTTAACACGTAAAGTCGACACTTAACCGTATCGATATATACGATATATAACGAGGATATTACTTTCGACGATGTGCGTATCGATTGGAAACGCGGATAAAATTCAAAAAAAAAAAAAAGAAAAAGAAGAAGAAGAAGAAGAAGAAGAAGAAGAAACTACCTCTCTCGAAATCGGAGAGGTGAAAGAGAGAACGCGAAGATACGCGTAGAGACGTGTTAACAAATCTCTCTCTGCGAAAAAAAAAAGGTCAGGAGGTTGCGAGAGCGTGCTCGAGATAAGCGACCGTGGCGAAGTGTCTATCGATTTTTCAAAGTTGGAAAAGTACAGGGAACGAAAGTTCTCGAGCACGTTGGACGATAAAAGAAGGGGAAGAGAAAGAGACGAAATACGGGAGAGAAAAAAAGAGGAAGACAAAGGTATAGAAACGCGACCGACCTGGGATGGCGGAGGAGGAGGAGGAGAGGGGAAATGAGTCTCCGCGAAAGAGCAACGCGTATTATCGGTTTATTCCCATCCCATCCCGTCATCTTCAGTGCGAGAGAAGTGGAATTTTCGCCACGGGGAACGATCGAAGGATCTTCGAAAGGAGAGAGAGAGAGAGAGAGAGAAAGAAAAAAAGAGAGAGACAGAAAGAGAGAGAGAGAGAAAAAGAGAAAGAGAGGGAAAAAAATTCCTTTGTGCTTGGATTAGGTGTGGCACGAGACACAAGTTCAATTGTAATTGTAATTCTGTGAGAAAAAGCCGAGGTTTCCTTCTTGTTGTTTACTTATATGGCTAAAAAGCGATTCACTCACCTCCCTGGTCATCGAGTGCGACCAGAGTACGGATGCCAGCCTCCTTGCTCTACGACAGACAGAGGCAGCACAACACAGACAACCACCACC